TAGGGCTCTGAGAAGAAATTACTTCTCTCTTTCCCCTCCAGAAACTTGCCTTAGCATCAATATAATAGCCCCTAACTCCCTTCACCTTGCCTTTTGAGATTCAGGATTCTAGAATCAATCAGTAAAGAATTTTAGAAAAGTATTTTTAGTTTAGATATTTTAAGAAACAGAGCAGTTAAGGTTTAATGTAAGAAAAGTACACTAAGTGTACTTTTGTTATAGTAATGTGTAACATTATAGCAATTGTACCACGTTAGGAAAAAAAACCCTTACCAGCATCTGCTTTTGAAAGAAAGATGCAGCCATTCTCTTCAAAGTACACATTCTCTCCAACCCTGATCTGTTCAATACAAAACATATTTCAAGTCCAACATATAGACTATTTCCTCAGAATCCTTATATTCAATCATTGTTCTGCAGAACACAACTGTAACATACACAAATGGCAGAATATAGGACACATATTTGATACTAAAGAAATATTGCAGGCATTGAAAAGGTGCTTTCAGGGTTAGGGTACTTTAGCTACCTATACCTGCTCTGAATTTAACAAAAGGCTCAGATTAACTTCAATTGCTCTTGTAACTGCCAGTGTCTTGTATTTTTTATCAAAAAGTCAGATGATTATTGTATCTTTATTTGCTTTTTCTCAGTGATGAGAAATGTTTGTATTTTTTGCCACTTACCCTTGGGCTTCCTGAATTCAGAGTGTACTTGTTGTGCAATTCTTCTAATGTTGTCTTGATTCTTTTTGTCATGGCTTTGTATCTTGCAGAAATGTCATTCCAATTTTCCTGCTCCGATTTCAGAAGATTCTTGGTCAAAAGCTCTGATGTTATTATGGATGTATTTTGTGTCATTTTTAAATGGATTTTTGATTCATCCTGCTGATAAAGGAAAGGGAACAATGGCTACAAGCCAGCACTCCATAGTCCAACATGAATGTATTGAAGCAATACTGAGATTTCCTAAGCTACAGACCCCAAACCATCTTTTCAATGCTTTCTGATCTAATATAGAGGCACTGTCAAATGTGCATTACTTGACAAATTTAGTGGTGTCTCCTCTTAAAAATTTAGGGTGTGCTCTTTTTCTAGAATGAGTTTTTATTTAACTTTTATGAAATTGTTCTTTTTCCTCCTTCAGAGATGTTGTCTCCTGTCTTAAGAGTGTAGTTTCTCATTTCCTTCCCTTGACAACAATGCCACCCACACCTCTGTCCCTATGCCTACATGTCCTAGCAGCTTGTTCAGTTTCTCACGCCAGCTCATCAAAAAGTGTTAGTGTAAACATTCACAAGGTGCAGAATGAAGTGAAGCAGTGAACTGATATGGGATCTGCAACAGTATTATCAGGAATAAGTTTAAGGATGTGGTTTTCCACAATCCATGAGCAAATTACTGCTACCTCTTTGCCAGCAAAGCTGTCTTCTCTTCAAAAAATATTAACACACCAAAATTCCTAGCACAATGCTACCCTTCTTTGCTTGCTTTAAAGTCATTTGATCAAAGCTTAACATACACTACAATACCTAACACTGCACAGATCACACAAAGTAGCATTTTACAACATTCCACATATTATGTCAGTGTGTCTAAATTTAAGAAGCAGTACACATTCTTTTACCCCATCCTCGCTTTGCATCAAAAACTGATAGTTTGTTCCTGGTTTGTCTTCACAAATGTGTGTCATCTGGTCTGTGAATGTTGCAAGTAGACTTTGAATGGAGAAGAAACTATCTGCTCCAGTTACAAAACTCCCTAACCACTCCCCATAAACCACATCATTTATTAGGGCCTGTAAGCATTCATTACTGGTTCAGACCAACGGTCCCTCCAGCCTAATAGATCAGATCAGAAGCATGAATCAAAACTGTGAAAGCCTCTGGAGAAGCTCTGGAGCAACTGTCTAATTAGTCAAGGTAAAAAAACTGCAGGACGTGTCAGCTGTGCCACGGTCACTGGAAAAATTGTTGCAACACCATTCCCCAAACCAGAGGCAAGCAAAAACCGCACTGCAGCCACAAAATACTTAGGGAAGTAGAGGAATGAGACAAGCACAGATTACATTCCCCAACAGGTGCTCCCCCAGGCTTCAACAATTTTCACTCCAGAAGTTCCTGAGCTGAACATGGTCTCTAGATATTTTTAAAGTCTCTTTCATGCATGTGTATCATCTCCCCTTGTACCTATGTAACATTTCAGCATCCACAGCCTATTTTGGCAATTTCCACACTTTATGAATTTTTTCATTAATTCCCCTCCTTTTGCTTTCAACAGTTCCCATTGCATTTATTTGGAAATGTTCTACAGAGCTGCTGGCCACAGTGTAACCATATATTATATTTCACACACAAACTTAGGAACTGTTTACATCATGGTTAAACATAACAATCTTTGTGTCACCTTTGAAGAAGTGCTGTTAACTTGAAATAATTTTAGAACAATTACACATCCATCTGAAAACGTTCAACATAAACCAAAACACCGCTCTTTTTAAACAGCATTTATACAACATGCAGATAAATCAGTTTACTGCATTGTCATACTGCACTATGCTTTTATAGTATCTTGAGCAAGCTCTGTATTAGAAGCAGGAACAGAAGACCTGAAATTACTTCACATCATTTTCTGACTCTGTGCATGACACATTGCCACTAATTTGCACAGTATTTACTTACAGAAATAAATCCAAGAACACTTTAAAGTATAGTTTAGCACATGTGGATACTATTATGAGAAGTCAATAGAATATTTTAGTATTTAATATGGTGCAAACCATTATTTACTGGTCAGCACAGAGAAAGTCAAATTTTGTTGAGCCAGCTCAGAGTGGTTAACCCGGGTGTCATCAGTCTGGACACTGGCCCTCTATGCTGGCTGAACTCTCCTTGCACTCCTGATACTTTACTGGTACTCTTTCTGAAAGATACCAATTTTAAAAAAATTGTTATGGTAGGAAAATTTACAAAAATGCACCTTTACATCAAAACAGTCCAGGAAAGTTGAACAGTATGTCTTTGAACATAACTGACATTCTAGTATTTATTCCCGTTTCAAACTCTGTAGGAAATGTGTTTCCTCAACATTTGGAAAACACGGCTGGCTTCCTCAACACGTGCCAGGGTGGTTGTTAGCATTAAGCCTACACTTAAACAGCATACCTTGCAGGAAAATAATCTCCGTGGCAGGATGCTTCCAGGTGGGAAAGTCCTGCCTGTGCACGTACTTCTTGAATAGTCCAGGATGTGGCATTTTTTTGGTTTTATTTTACTATAAAGACATATTGTTTGAAGATGGTTATGCTTAGAGTAGTATCTCTCACTGAAAACAAGGCCTTGAAGAAGATTCTGCAGTCCAACACACGGCGTCCTAACCTTCATTTCTCGATGGTCAACCTGAAATTTCTGAAAATCCCAAACTGCTGATCATTTACCCTGTGTGTGAAACATACAGAACATAAGCTGAAGGTAACCCTTCCTTTCTCTCAAAGAGTTGAGGCTGATTCATTAAGTCACTCACGTAACAAACAGTAAAACTGAAGCTACTTTCTTAACAACTGTTACACACAGCTGAGCTTGCAGATGAACCTGCATTACTCCAAAACGCGGTTCTGTAGCGGAACTACCAACGAAGAGAAAGGAAGGTGCAACTGTGCACGTTTCAACGTTGAAAAAAAAAAAACAAAAACCGCGAAGGTTTTGCAAGTTCTTCCCCTCTTTGGAAGATATGCCGTAACAACACAATCCCTCTGTCTCAAGAAGGTAACTCGGCAGGCAGCAAGGGCCGGACAGGACAGCGGCCCGGCCCGCGGGGGGAAAGGAAAGGCCCTGCGGGGGGAAGGGCCCCGCGGCCCTCACGGCCGCCCCGTCACCCCGCCCGGCCCCGCTCCCCACCGGCCCGGCCCTCACC